CTGTCCACATTTCCATTTTCCTTGAGTGTTTAATTCCCAGCAGGAAAGACATTTCTCAATTTAGTACCAATTAATTTCCCATAGAACTCTATACAAACCTTTTGCCCTCCAAGTAATTTACTAATTCCCGTTCAAACAAATCACTGGTATTATTTGAAAGTTCGTTCTAAGCACTTATTAAAAACACGAAAAAAAATATACCGTTCCGCGGCGTTTATAGGTCAAATTTGCAGTTATTTAGAACTTACAGAGATCGGCAGTAAATGACACCCTGCCAAAAATATCAATCCCCACTCCTACAATCTCCCCTGGTATTTCTAGAATTTTTGTAATATTCCCACATTCCATCATTTATTTCAAACATTAATATTTTTACTTTAAAATGAAAATATTTACATACCTCAATTCAGCCAATCAGGTAAAGCCTACCCATTTATTACTCTGCTTCATCTTGTTCAACCAGGAAATGATGTCAAAATCTGGGTCTTTGGTGCTCTTTTTCCTATACTTACATATTTACCTATCCCAGAATTAGTCAATTTTGTAATTTTCAAAGACCTTATACTTACCAATATACATGTATGAAATTTGAGGCCTGTCACTTCAGTGTCTTGGAATCTGTGGCCATCTTAATGAATGTCCCCTCCCTGCTGCAGGTGCTTTTCCAAAGAGTGAAAAACTTTCATTCCTGTGATGAAATCTGGATACAGTTGTCACTGTAATGAATAAAATATTTATAAAATAACATGATTTTGTTTTTTGATGTTAATAAAATGATATAAAGTCATAATTGTGTCAATTTTTTCATAGGGGTGGAATCTACCCAGAATAAAGAAAAAAGGTCCAAAATTTGATAAATCATAATTAATTAAGCAAAATTAAAAGGTTTTAAAAAGACTGATATAGAAATTTTCTTATGCTTATGAAAAGTAAATTGTTTGAGACTCTGATATACTAAATGATTCTTATCTAACCCCTCCTGTTGCTTAAGTATATACAAAAAAGTTTCCCCACCCCCCAGTGAAAGACACTTAGAGAAATAGCAGGTGCCCCCTATTATATTTGTTTACAATTAATTCAGACAAGAGAAAATTAATACTTTTGATAACAAATCAAAGTGCAGTGTCTGATAGTCTTATACAGTACAACCATAATCTACATTATTGAATTTCATGCTTTAAAAAGGGGAATTCAGATTAATTTGTAAAAAATTAAGAAATGCAATAATTGACTTAAAACCCCAAAATGTACACCACAATAAGAGGCTGAAAAGTTAATAAATGAAAAATTTACCTGCAATGTACAGAAATCTGTCCGACAAAATATATCGGGTGGGTAGCGAGTCTCCATCTTCTTCTTATATAGAGAAAATGCCCCCCGCCGATCAGATACCAAGCTCTCCCGGGTCCAGGAAGCTGAAATTCTGAAAGTCCTCTATAGTCTTTAAATGAAAATAAATCAATAAAGTTAGTCAAATTAAGCATAAATCATAAAGAAAACAGCAATATTTTTCAAGTTTTCTGAAAAATTACCAAATTACATATCTTCTACATGGCCGAATGTTTAAAAAATGGATCCGTCAAGGGTGGAATACATGTTTTACAATTTTACATGTAATTACATGTAAATATTAGAAAAGTCAAATGTGATACATGCAGTAATGCCATTCCAATAATTCAAGAAAACAAAATCAGAAGCCTAAGGTCACAATAATTAAGATTATATCATGTTGAAATTCTACATATTTGGTTAGCTAGTCTAAGGGAAGTAACTCTAAGTACAAAAACTGGAAAGCAGTAGAAAATGAGTTGCAGAGAGTCACCCTGATGGAACTACAAAGAGCAAAAAGAGGGAAAACACATACCTTTGTGTAGCTACAATATAGAAACAACCAAACTACAAACTGATCCCCCCGCAGTCAAGGGAGGCAATCCAGAGGATCACATACACTACCGACATGATACGTCAAGACAGAAAATGACCTCCTTTCACATGAACACCACGAAACGCACTTTTAAGGGCCGAATAAATTATTCGAAAAGATACCAAACGTGCAGACGTATAAGAAACTAAACAAAAATTAACACCAGGCCACCATCCTACACTTCCAAAAGTACACATATATAGCAAATCATATAAATACACAATTACATGTACATGTAAAATACATACATAAATTTATGAATACATACAAACATTTATTATAAGATCAATCTGATACATTTTCTTAACTTACCTTTCTCCTATGGCCAAGTCAACTACACATTGTTTTACCAATTTCCATCCTCTGTAACCCCCCCCCCCCCCAACCTCTAACCCTAATTCCACTACTAGAACTTACAGAGATCGGCAGTAAATGACACCCTGCCAAAAATATCAATCCCCACTCCTTCTCCTATGGCCAAACAAATTGTTTTACCAATTTTTCTCTACAAAAGACCCAAAATCACCTCTAACCCTAATTCCACAGATAAATAATTCAAATTTTTGCTAATTTTTCTCTCTCGAAATGTCTTCAATATTCAAATAAATTGCTAAAAATAACTTTTCATGACTTTCACTTCACTTTACTTATTAAAAAATGGGGTCTCTATAGGGAAAAGAGTACCAATTAATTTCCCATAGAACTCTATACAAACCTTTTGCCCTCCAAGTAATTTACTAATTCCCGTTCAAACAAATCACTGGTATTATTTGAAAGTTCGTTCTAAGCACTTATTAAAAACACGAAAAAAAATATACCGTTCCGCGGCGTTTATAGGTCAAATTTGCAGTTATTTAGAACTTACAGAGATCGGCAGTAAATGACACCCTGCCAAAAATATCAATCCCCACTCCTACAATCTCCCCTGGTATTTCTAGAATTTTTGTAATATTCCCACATTCCATCATTTATTTCAAACATTAATATTTTTACTTTAAAATGAAAATATTTACATACCTCAATTCAGCCAATCAGGTAAAGCCTACCCATTTATTACTCTGCTTCATCTTGTTCAACCAGGAAATGATGTCAAAATCTGGGTCTTTGGTGCTCTTTTTCCTATACTTACATATTTACCTATCCCAGAATTAGTCAATTTTGTAATTTTCAAAGACCTTATACTTACCAATATACATGTATGAAATTTGAGGCCTGTCACTTCAGTGTCTTGGAATCTGTGGCCATCTTAATGAATGTCCCCTCCCTGCTGCAGGTGCTTTTCCAAAGAGTGAAAAACTTTCATTCCTGTGATGAAATCTGGATACAGTTGTCACTGTAATGAATAAAATATTTATAAAATAACATGATTTTGTTTTTTGATGTTAATAAAATGATATAAAGTCATAATTGTGTCAATTTTTTCATAGGGGTGGAATCTACCCAGAATAAAGAAAAAAGGTCCAAAATTTGATAAATCATAATTAATTAAGCAAAATTAAAAGGTTTTAAAAAGACTGATATAGAAATTTTCTTATGCTTATGAAAAGTAAATTGTTTGAGACTCTGATATACTAAATGATTCTTATCTAACCCCTCCTGTTGCTTAAGTATATACAAAAAAGTTTCCCCACCCCCCAGTGAAAGACACTTAGAGAAATAGCAGGTGCCCCCTATTATATTTGTTTACAATTAATTCAGACAAGAGAAAATTAATACTTTTGATAACAAATCAAAGTGCAGTGTCTGATAGTCTTATACAGTACAACCATAATCTACATTATTGAATTTCATGCTTTAAAAAGGGGAATTCAGATTAATTTGTAAAAAATTAAGAAATGCAATAATTGACTTAAAACCCCAAAATGTACACCACAATAAGAGGCTGAAAAGTTAATAAATGAAAAATTTACCTGCAATGTACAGAAATCTGTCCGACAAAATATATCGGGTGGGTAGCGAGTCTCCATCTTCTTCTTATATAGAGAAAATGCCCCCCGCCGATCAGATACCAAGCTCTCCCGGGTCCAGGAAGCTGAAATATGAAAGTCCTCTATAGTCTTTAAATGAAAATAAATCAATAAAGTTAGTCAAATTAAGCATAAATCATAAAGAAAACAGCAATATTTTTCAAGTTTTCTGAAAAATTACCAAATTACATATCTTCTACATGGCCGAATGTTTAAAAAATGGATCCGTCAAGGGTGGAATACATGTTTTACAATTTTACATGTAATTACATGTAAATATTAGAAAAGTCAAATGTGATACATGCAGTAATGCCATTCCAATAATTCAAGAAAACAAAATCAGAAGCCTAAGGTCACAATAATTAAGATTATATCATGTTGAAATTCTACATATTTGGTTAGCTAGTCTAAGGGAAGTAACTCTAAGTACAAAAACTGGAAAGCAGTAGAAAATGAGTTGCAGAGAGTCACCCTGATGGAACTACAAAGAGCAAAAAGAGGGAAAACACATACCTTTGTGTAGCTACAATATAGAAACAACCAAACTACAAACTGATCCCCCCGCAGTCAAAGGGAGGCAATCCAGAGGATCACATACACTACCGACATGATACGTCAAGACAGAAAATGACCTCCTTTCACATGAACACCACGAAACGCACTTTTAAGGGCCGAATAAATTATTCGAAAAGATACCAAACGTGCAGACGTATAAGAAACTAAACAAAAATTAACACCAGGCCACCATCCTACACTTCCAAAAGTACACATATATAGCAAATCATATAAATACACAATTACATGTACATGTAAAATACATACATAAATTTATGAATACATACAAACATTTATTATAAGATCAATCTGATACATTTTCTTAACTTACCTTTCTCCTATGGCCAAGTCAACTACACATTGTTTTACCAATTTCCATCCTCTGTAACCCCCCCCCCCCCAATCTCTACAAAAGACCCAAAATCACCTCTAACCCTAATTCCACAGATAAATAATTCAAATTTTTGCTAATTTTTCTCTCTCGATGTCTTCAATATTCAAATAAATTGCTAAAAATAACTTTTCATGACTTTCACTTCACTTTACTTATTAAAAAATGGGGTCTCTATAGGGAAAAGAGTACCAATTAATTTCCCATAGAACTCTATACAAACCTTTTGCCCTCCAAGTAATTTACTAATTCCCGTTCAAACAAATCACTGGTATTATTTGAAAGTTCGTTCTAAGCACTTATTAAAAACACGAAAAAAAATATACCGTTCCGCGGCGTTTATAGGTCAAATTTGCAGTTATTTAGAACTTACAGAGATCGGCAGTAAATGACACCCTGCCAAAAATATCAATCCCCACTCCTACAATCTCCCCTGGTATTTCTAGAATTTTTGTAATATTCCCACATTCCATCATTTATTTCAAACATTAATATTTTTACTTTAAAATGAAAATATTTACATACCTCAATTCAGCCAATCAGGTAAAGCCTACCCATTTATTACTCTGCTTCATCTTGTTCAACCAGGAAATGATGTCAAAATCTGGGTCTTTGGTGCTCTTTTTCCTATATCGGAGTCAGATAAATGTGACGATGAAGACCCCTGTACATACAGTACACACCATTCGGTACAAGGGAGACATATTGTTGAACTTGATGTTTTGGCAGAAGGACTGGAGAAAGGGTTTGTACATTTATCATTTACTCTTCTTTTTCTTCTTCCATAAATGTGCCCGGCACTAAAGTTGGGCATTATTGCACACAGGGCTGTGTATTGAGCCAAAGTAATACATGTAAAGCAAATATAAAAAGTCAACACATAATTATATTATTATTATTAAAGGTGTTCAAGCTGTGGACAACCATTACAATTGACATCATACATTGGAGAAAGTAGATATGGCCTAGGTAAGGATATTTTTTTCATTGAATTTTAATATCATGTCTGCATGTTATTTATAGTATGTAACTGTTGACTTATACTGTTTTTTTTTTGTGTGTGTGTGTGTACACATTTGCTCTGATTAAGTATTTTGTAATTCTTTTTCTTTATACTTGAATTTTAGGTAGTCTTCTTCACTTAAGATGTAGTTGTAAGAAAATTAACTATGTTCCCACAGGAAAACGACATTCAAAAAACATTTGGGATGTAAACTCAAAATTAGGTGCAGGTCAGTTGATTTATTTTAATTATTTTTTTTTTTATTATTTGAAATTAGAGTGATTGAAGCTTCTTTTAAGTTTTTGAAACACAACATTTCACTACAATCTGATTAATAATGCATATATATATAGTGCATTTGTATAACATTTAAATATATTGATAAACTTCAGCAATGATATTCTGTGGTATTGGTGAAAGTGTAGTCAATAATTTATTGGCTGCATTGAACCTCCCGAACATATCCCCAACCACCCTAAAAAGGAGGGAACGAGAGGCAGGTTCTGCATTTGAAGCATTTGCTACTGAGACGTGTAGTGATGCAATTGCAGCTGAAAGTAGAAGGTAAGAAAAATTTATATCAATGTTGTTTTGGTACAAAAGTAAGAATATATATTTAATAGCATCATTTATGTTTATAACATGGAATTTATACTTTGTAATGCATTAAATTAAATATAGATACATGTTTCATTTGAGAGAAAGTTATGTTTGTTCATTTGCAGTTGTCAAAGTGAAGAAGACCAGGCGGTTTCCTTTGATTCTGGCTGGCAAACCAGAGGAAGTGGAAGGAACTATGCTAGTTTATCTGGTGTGTATTTAAAATAATTTTTTTGTAGCAACTTTTACCACTATTTTTATATCATGCATGTTTAACTGAATAACTGTATGTAAATGTAGTTATACATAGTGTTCTTTGATTTCAGGTCATGGAAGTATGATTGGAGTGAATACCGGAAAAGTCTTAAGTTATGCCGTACGTTGTAAAAAATGTCGTTTTTGTGACAGGGCGGTGGATAAAGAAAATCCAAAAGAGCATGATTGTAGAAAGAATTGGGAGAAATCCTCCAAGGCAATGGAGTCTGACATGGCAGTAGAAATGCTTCATGAATTAAAATCAAAGGGATTTCACGTTAAAAAACTTATCATGGATAATGATACTACTACGATTTCAAGGTTATAATTTTATGCTAAAAAAAATTGTACATTTCATACTGAAATTAGAATTACTGTAATAATGGGTCATTACTTGCTAATTAATTGAAATAATTTTGCTATGTATTTGTAGGGCTCGAGCATCTTTTGATGAGTCTTTAGAAAAATTCTCCGATTTTAACCATACCAAGAAAAATGTAACAAACAAGCTATATTCACTTAGAAAGGAAAAAAGATATAATAACCTTGGTCCAAAAGCAATAAACCATCTGACTAAGTGCTTTGCATATGCTGTCAAGGGGAGTGAAGATGCAGCTAGCATGAAGAAAAACTTGGAGGCCATTCCTTGCCATGTTTTTGGTGATCATTCAAGATGTTCTGAGTGGTGTGGGTAAGTATTCTAGGTTAATTTCTAAACAATGATGCAATAGTAATAAGAATAATAATTATGTTAATTAAGTAAATTATTTCAGTAAAGTGATTTTCATCTTGCAGATATTTGAAAAATCCATCCTCATATAAACCAACAAGTTTGCCATATGGTAAATATATGACAGGAGAAGATCTGCTATCTGATTTAAAGACCATATTTGAAGAATATGCTGCAAATTCTGAAAAGCTTGTTAAAGTGGGTAGCACTCAGACCAATGAAAGTTTTAACCATACTGTAGCCTCAAAGAACCCAAAGTCCAACTTTTACAGTGCTTCTGAGTCTACATCATTCAGAGTGGCAGCGGCGGTGGCTCAAAAAAACATAGGTCTTCAAACACTAACAAAGGTTTGTATCATTTAAATTAAAACTTTACATGTCCAACTGATTTTGATGTCTAAATTATATGATTATCTTACAAATATATAATATCAAAAGCATTTTTATTATGTATTATCTAATCTCATTAACAATTTCAGGTGTATGAAAATTTGCTCCTTTCTCCTGGAAAGCACACCAATTCCTACATCAGTAAGGCTTCCAGGAAAAGAGATTATCAGAAGATTGTTAAAAGCAGCGTGGAGTGTAAGAAACGTAGAAAGGAACTCAAATCTGCAGCAAATAAACAGGTATTTGAATTTAATTGTACATGTACATATTTTGTGAATTTAAACTACCCTAAAAATTGATTATTTTGAAAGTTTTGTACAATTCTGTAAATGTTTACTATTCAACAGGTATCAACTTCTGAAGTTAAGGAGGGGACAACATACCAGTCAGCAATAGATCTAGCTGGCAATTTAGAACCTGATCATCTGCAGGAAATACCAGACAGGACATTGCCACCTGCTTCCTCCTCTGTATCAAATAATGAGAACACCTTCTTATTTTTTGATCTAGAAACTACAGGTTTAGGTAAGAATTTTATAAAAACAGTGCCAACACACTATTATTCTGCAATGTGTTCTCATTACATTAATTGTATCACTTTCACTTCATAATATTTTTATATAATTTATTCCATTTCATTACAATAAATGTTAATATCATGTTTATATAAGGTACCTCATCAGAGATTGTGCAGCTAGCCTGTGTTTCTGGTGATGACATCTTTAACAGATATGTCCTACCTAGCTGTGCCATCACACCATCTGCAACAGCAGTCACAGGCCTTCACGTTGTAGGAGGAGAACTTTTTTGCCACAAAGAAAAGGTAGAGAGTGTAGGAATTGACACTTGTCTCAAAGATTTTAAAATGTGGTTGAGCAAATTTCACAGACCTGTCCTTGTGTGTCACAATGGAAAGGTATTTGATTCTGTGATATTGATGAAAACATTATCAAATCACCCAGCATGTGGTTCATTACCCATTGAAGGTTTTGTAGATACTCTACATGTATTTAGAGAAGTTCTACCAAAGAGGGACACGTACAGATTAGAAAAACTGGTGTTAGATACAATGTCTGTGGCATACAATGCCCATTCAGCTGTTGAAGATGTAAAGATTTTACAATCATTGGTGAAACATCATAGGTTATAATGTGAAATATTGTTGAAGCATAGCTTCAGTGTTGACTTTATTTTATCATCAATTGAATACAAATCAAAGACCACTGAATGTTTGAACTCTTTGCAGCCTTTAGTTACATGTCTCTCTAGTTATATGATTAAAAAGATTGCACAGTCGGGTTTGGCATACTGTCATCTGAAACTTGCTTTTGACAGGGGAGGAGCAGAGGGCCTTGAAAATATTCTTTCAGAGAAGCAGTCAGATGGAAATATTAGAGTTACAAGAAATAAATCAATTCTTTCCAAAGTTATCACCCATTTCAGTACATAAAGTATCTCAATGCCATGAAGTATGATTCTTATAATTGATCTGCAATTGACCATATGATTGAACTTTGATTTTGACATGAAAGTAATCATAATTTTGTGTCCTTTTTTTCTTGCATAATATTAGGAAGGGCAAAATCTGTAAGTATGGATACTTTATTAGTTAAAGATACAAGAGTCATCTTTATGTGATTTTAAATACCAGTGAAGTATGTAAGTATACATGTACTTGTTATTTTATCATTTTATTTTTCATTAACTTTATTGATGCTATCTGCATTTTTGATTGTGTATTTCCTCTGCTTTTCCATATCATTTTAGTGCAATATTTGTTGTGTTTTCTTCTTTTTGTTTGTTTTTTTTGTTTTCTTTCATTTTCATTGTTATATTTTTATTTTGTTGCTGTGTATACATGTTTGTCTACCTGTTGTTTGTGTGTCTTCCTTTTCCTTGCTACTGCTGTTGTGTGTTTAACGTGATGTTCACTGTGCATTTTTTTGTCCTATCTTTCTGCTTCATCATGCATTCAAATATATATAGTTGCTTTTTGCTCTAACACCTGTAAGCATATTTTCCTATCCATATGTAACACTGCATACTATTTTATCTATATATATATACTGTAAATACCAATAATTCCATTTCCTTGAGCAAAAAAAAATATTTTTAGTTCATAAAATATTAAATATATGTAAATTTTCATGTAAAAGTACCAGTTTATTTGGGCCCTACCATATTAAGAAAGATAACTAGTCAAACCAGATCTTCTGAACCAGCATTTTTGAGAATATTTTTTGTAGATTTCTTAATCAAATTTCATTTCAATTTTTCATTTGCATATCATCAATAATCATGTGTATTTTCTATTTATAGATTTTGGTACAGTTTTAACCACCGGTTTTCAGGAAATTGAACATGAATGTTAAAAAAACACTTTTTTTCAGAAATAATTAAAAAATGTATGATGAAAAAAAAATTTTTTTTTTGTTGTATTTTAATTCTTACATAGTCAACGGGAATGTTTTAAGTGAATTGAAAATGAAATTAAAGATAATAAATTAAAAATTAAATAAATTCAAATTAATTTGAAAAAATAAAAAAAAATTGTAAAAAATAAAGGATAAATATCTGCATTCTGGGAATGTTGTTAATGATTCTATACATGAAAGAGGCATGCATATTACAAATATCACTAGGTGTGTTATTCTACCTTAAGGACTGTCTTTTAGTTTTAGTTGAATTGGTTTCTTTTCTACATCTGAAAATGACATCATCCAAAGAAATTCTTCATCTGCATGTTATATGAAGAAGACAATTTTCATCACAGTGAAAGAGATTGTTTTGTTAAACATATTGCATTGATGCACAAATATACTTTTAGATTTTTAATAGCTAGGGTTCATATTTCTTAATATGGAATGCTAAGTACTGTTGATTTCAATTTTTTGTGAACAAAGACATACTAGTAGGAAAAAATGTACATGATGTGTCAGAAAAGCATGTGTAAACCTGATGACTTTATAATTGCTGATTAAATCAATGATGAGTTTCATCTTTGTTACATTGTAAACATTTCTAAGTAGTGCACACATCAGAAACTCTTAAAATTTTGAGTATCAGGGTTTAACACAACGTTTCTAAATGATTTATGGACGCTTTTTATGTATCAATAAGACAAAACAGAATGTTTGTTCACAGATGTTCCAATGGAAAACAACCACAAAGAAATGATTTGACATGTTCTTTATGTGATTCATGTAAAATGTATTTTAAAATTGTACCCTAACATTTATCTTTTGCATGAATACATTTTTTTTTGTGAAGAATTTCTCATAACTTTGAAAAAGGAGTCTTATTGTATGATATGGGTAGCTTAAAATTTTGTAGACTTAAAAGTTGTACATGATGTGTTACACATCTTACATATGTAACCATTTTATTTCAGAGTATTCAGCATATATTGTGGCTTTGTATTAAATTTGTTTGCTTATGTAATCAATAATTTGAGAATACTCAAATTAGGTAATGCATGAGAGAATAGGCAAGAAAATCAGGTTTAAGAAATGAATTTTACTATTTATAAGGGGTTAGTCTACATATTGAATCTATAAGTACATTTAGTCTATACATTTAAGGTATTTCTGTATGAAATAAACTTACATATGAGCATTTTAAGACAATTGTAAACATTACTTTAACCAGTTTAAGACATAGAAAACATAGATTCTGATTTTTAGGTCAAAGATCAGCACAAATTATATTTGACTGGATTAAAAGCAGTAATTTTAAATAAACATTAAGAAGATTACACAAACACTGTAATTTCAACACTCTGGTTTTACAAATACGAAAAGTTTGAATTACTAAAGCCTAATTGTAATGACATAAAAGACGAGACTTATAAGATAAATATTAAAATACTCAGTCCTCAAGATTGAAAGTTTTTAAAGATTGAAAGCCTGAGAATCTGAAAGCCTAAAAGTCTGAAATTCTGAATCTCAAGATTTAATACACATATTGTGTTTTGAAACATTGAAAGTCAGTATATGATTTGCTTGTAAAATTCTTTAAAAATATAGGAGCACATTCAGTGACATATTATAAAAAAAGTGGGAGATTTTATACCTAATTCCTTACAAATAAAGAATATCACTGTGAGATCCTTATAATGAAGTTTTACTGTAGCAGGAATACATTGACCTTTAACCTGAAAAGTCAATAGAGGTGTTAAGATATTCATAGACAACAATGGTATTGCAAAAAATTGCGCTGATCTTTGACCTGAAAATCAGAATATATGAAGTTTGTTTAATTAAGCTATCCATGAAGTTTGATGAATATCAACTAAACAATTAAATTTAGCAGATGTCCACATCTCTTTGACATTTTGACTAAAAACTTAATATGGTCATTTATTTACCTTTGTTTGACTTTGATGAGTATCTTAAATGTTGGATATGTTATTAGCAAGACACAATCTAATCTGAGTAAAGAGGAAACCTGGAAAAGCTGTTATCCCTTTGTATGAACAAATTAATTGATGTCATGCAGATATCTTAACCAGAATATCAGAACAATCTGATGATTCTAAAATAAAGAGTTCTCATTATACTAGTCAGAAACCATCGCTCTACCTGACAAACACAAAAAATTTGAATGTCAACTCAACAAAGTAAGTAGGGTTCCTTTTCTTCAAAGAGTAAAATTTTGATGGATTGGGTGAGTGTTTGTTACTTCCTGTCTATAAAGAAAAATATATGCCCTCCATTTTGACTGTATGGATTAAGAACTGTTTATATAATTGAATCACACTTATTTCTTTCATGTCATTCTTAATGTCATAGTACCCATCATTCATAATATGTACAAGTTTCAATCCTAATAGATAAATCCAAATTTTGTTTTTATTTCACATCACTTGGCGGTCATATTTGAGGGAAACTCAGAATTCTCTGTCCATGTTAATTTATGGTGTATACCTTCATCATTTGACATAACTCATTTGCTTTTTGTATTTTGATTGCCTAAATCAGAGCTATTCATAACATAGAAAGAGGACAAAAAATGAATACTGTGAATTTATTGCAATAATACCTACATGTTTGATACATAAAGAGAAATATTTTTTTCATTTCTTTTTTACCTTTGGATTGACCCTGAATAGAGATACCATTTACTTGTTGGCAAGTGTAAACTATATACTGCATGACTAAACATGGTTTGTATATTGAAATATGAAATGGTTTCTTAAATGCTTAAATCATTATACTCCTACTGTCCTAGTGAGAATTATGCTCCATCAACTTTGTGAAATATTCCCAACTTCCAATGCTTCTTATTTACATTTAAAAAAAACTGACTCAAATAAAATTGTTTGTTTTCTCATTTTTTATAGGAAATAACATGCTGACAGTGAATCTATTCATGTTTTAAACTGGTTAAAGTAATGTTTACAATTGTCTTAAAATGCTCATATGAAAGTTTATTTCATACAGAAATACCTTAAATGTATAGACTAAATGTACTTATAGATTCTGTATATAGATTAACCCCTTATCAATAGTAAAAATCATTTCTTAAACCTGATTTTCTTGCCTATTCTCTCATGCATTACCTAATTTGAGTATTCTCAAACTATTGATTACATGAACAAACAAATTTAAGACAAAGCCACAATATATGTATGCTGAATACCCTGAAATAAAATGGTTACATATGTAAGATGTGTAACACATCATGTACAACTTTTAAGTCTACAAAATTTTAAGCTACCCATATTTTACAATAAGACTACTTTTTCAAAGTTATGAACAATTCTCCACAAATAAATGTCTTTATGCAAAAGATAAATGTTAGGGTACACTTTTAAAATACATAACAAATCATTTCTTTGAGCTTGTTTCCCTTTGGAATATCTGTGAACAGATATTCTGTTTTGTCTTTTTGATACATAAAAAGCGTCCAAAAATCTTTTGGAATTGTTGTGTTAAACCCTGATACTCAGAATTTTAAGAGTTTCTGATGTGTGCCCTTCTTAGAAATGTTTACAATGTAACAAAAAATAAACTCATAATTTGATTTAATCAGCAATGATAAAGTCATTAGGTTTCCACATGTTTTTCTGACACATCAAGTACATTTTTTTCTACTAGTATGTCTTTGTTCATACAAAATGAAATCAACAGTACTTAGAACTCCATATAAAGAAATATGAACCCTAGCTATAAGAAATTTAAAAATATATTTGTGCATCAATGCATTATGTTAAGCAAAACAATCTCTTTCACTGTGATGAAAATTGTCTTCTTCATATAACATGCAGATGAAGAACTTCTTTGGAAGAGTTGACAGAGGTCAGCAGAATACTTGTGTATGACAGTGATGATGAAGTTATTGATGTCTATTGGGTATGTACTGAATGTGGAGAACGCATACCTCACTGGACAATAGACTACCCCCTAGTTTGGAGCGTTGTCACTGTGATTGGTGCCTGAAAAATTTCCTGTGGAAATATGGTATTGATTATATGATACCACCTTGGGCCAAGCTCATCAAAAGAAATGCCAAGATCGACAGATGTCCCTCTTGCTGGGAAGACAACACTCAAGGAAAATGAAAATGTCAGCAGTATAAGAAATACCCGTGCTGCGAAAAGTGTTATGACTTTATTGTAAGGCTTTCTTACAAAAGATGTCCTTTATGTCGATACGATGGAAATGAATATCCTTTTGAACAATAAAAGTGTCAGTGAAGTGTGTCTTGAAATAACTAACAACATCAGAATTTTTGATGTCTATGGTTTATTCATAACAACAAGAACATTATAATAACAAACATTTAAAGCTTTTCTTCAGTTTTTTTTGTATGGGGAACGATCTCCTCATGTACAAATAGTGTGTTTCGAAAGCACAGTCTTTGATGTCGTATCCTTTTAGGACCACTTTCTTGCCATAATCTTTAATACAATCCCCGGCTTTTTCTATCCATTTCCCTTGAATCCAAGTGCTTTCGGGTCCCTTTCTTTGGTGAGCCAAGACATATTTGATTTTCCATTTGAATTCCCGATACTTGGGATGTCTGGCTCCTAATAAGACCAGGATGCTGTCTCCTATTGGATCAGGAACCCGAACATCCAGACCCCGAATGGGAAAAACAATGGCTACGTATGCAGAAAGGAGATAAGAAATCCTTAGATCAAAAGAACCAAGCAATAGCCCTCATGGAACAGGCCGAGTGTGATATCAATCAAGCTTGTGGATCTGCAGAGTGGACGAAATTACAACAGGTATTAGCTCCTCGCTCACATAAGAGGGTAACAATTGTCTCTTATCGTACACAATTCTACACTTTTTTTTCTAAAAGTTTGGTCACGACATCATGATCACAAGTCCTCTGGATTTTGTTGAGATAAGGTACTGTGACTT